AGTCGAAAAGCCATTGCTGCATTACAGTAAAACTCTAGTTTAAAAAATATATCTAACCATACTTTCTACACTGTTTTCACTAAATAAACAAAATTAAAAGTATATTTAAAAATGGTTTCTTTAGTGAATTCTGAATAGATGTTGTGCTAAATAAAAAGTTTAATTTTATTCATTTCATTTCAGCAATTATTATTGCCATTTCACTTTATTAGACCACCATTCAAGCGTTGGTGGTCTGTAAGATTTTGTGTTTTTGATGTTTTTAAAAGAAGTCTCTTATGCTCATCAAAGCTGTTTATTTGATCAAAAATTCAGTAAATACAGTAATATCGTGAAGAATTATTACTTTTTGGATGCATTTCAAAATGTAATTTATTCCTGTGATGTTTTTGCTGAATTTTCAGCATCATTACTCTAGTCTTCAGTGTCACATGATCCTTCAGAAATCATTCTAATATGCTGATTAGCTTCTTAAAAAACATTTCTTATTATCATCAACGTTGAAGAAAAGTTGTGCCGCTTCATATTTTTACAGAAACCATAGTTTTCAGGACTCTCTGATGAATAGAAACATCAAAAGAACAGCGTTTATTTTAAATAGAAATACTGACATTACAAATGTTATGACTGTCACTTTTGATAAATTAAATGCTTTGCAGAAGTATTAATTTCTCTTAAAAAACAACAAAATAACACTGAATGCATCATAAATATTCTCATACTTTAGCTGAAACAGTGTTGTGTCACAGATAAAAGCTTCAGTCTGATAGACTCTCTCTGGACGCAGGGACACGGCTGTGAGCGCACACAGCTCATGTCTGTTTGAGGTTTGCTTTGTATTTGCTTTTATCATGAACTGAAATGCACCCAAAGATGCTTTCGTCTTTATCAGGATGTGTGGGAGCCCGTTAGCTGAACAGAAACGTCATATCGATGGCTTCTCATGCCATTACTGAACGTGAGCCATGTCTCCTCACCTGTCATCGCCCCTCCAGCAGCACTCAAACTTATCAAAGATGCAGTCGTTCTCGTAGAGAGAGCACAGCTTACTCCTGAGATAACCATGAACCTGATGAAGAGATCAAAGTCACAAAACACGCTAATGTCATGCATACTGATATAAAGACAGACAGCAGGGAAACCAGTTTATGAATATGTCAGTTTCTTAATGGTTACAGCTTCACAGTCTTTATTCAGTGCATTCTGGGTAATCAGAGCCATACAACTAATGTCATACAAGTAGACCAAGAAGTGTTACATTTAATTACTCATAATAAAAAAATTGCTTATAGTAACCCTCTTTGACATTTTCTTCTCTCTCTCTCTCTCTCTATATATATATAGAGAGAGAGAGAGAGAGAAGAAAATGTCAAAGAGGGTTACTATAAGCAATTTTTTTATTATGAGTAATTAAATGTAACACTTCTTGGTCTACTTGTATGACATTAGTTGTATGGCTCTGATTACCCAGAATGCACTGAATAAAGACTGTGAAGCTGTAACCATTAAGAAACTGACATATTCATAAACTGGTTTCCCTACTTTTTTCTACAGAAATATTTTGACTCGTGTAAAAAACATTCTCATGCAATGAAAAATACCCACGTAAAGCTGGTTAAGAAATAAATTCCTGACGCCACCTAGTGGTCAATGTTGCTAAATTATTATTCTGTTTATAGGATTAGTTCACACAAAAAGAAAATGATCATACCCTCCTGTCCTTTCAAACCACTTTGACTTTCTTCTAATGGAAAAGGAGAAAATTTAAATCTTCTGGTTGTTTCTTCCATGTACTTGCTGCTACATTGTTCATTCAAAATATTGTGGGAAAAAAGAACATCAATGCAGAGATGATGTTGTTTGCGTCAAAACCGAAACCAAACCGTTCACACAGAACGCATATTTATCGCATTTTCTAGAGGGACATCTATCACCGTTGCACTCGCGTCTCGCACAAAAGAGCCGCATGTTAAGAAAGCCATGGAAAATTAATACAAGTTCAACTTTTTAAAAACATGCCTCAAGACTTTATGGCGGTTTTTCCCCATCCTATTGCATCTCAAGTTTTTAAATGAAGAAAGTACTCTTTGTGATTGGTTTTCAGTCCTTTGTATTATAATATTAAACTATACATACATGCATGATTGTGTTTTGTTTCTAATTGTTTAAGCAACTTTAATTATATAAGGCTTATAAGCATTCTTTTAAACATTATGCACTTGTTTCAAAGATAGTCGTGTTTTTATTATGCTTTGAAGAAACGTGCATAATATTTTGTTCGATGCGCCCTCTTGTGGCCTCAGGAGAGAAGCCAAACGCTTTTTTTCCCCTAACTGAAATTATGCCTTTTAAATTCGAATATTGATAATATTTAAGTACAAAATTCGAATTTAGTTTTTCAGCCATTTTGACAGCCCTAATCCAGATTAACTGTAATTGCATGGATAAAACAACCAGAATATTCAGCATTTCCCTTTTGTGTCCCAGAAGTCAGTCATACAAATTATGACAATGACAATGAGGCTTAGTAAATTATGACAACTTTCATTTTTAGGTGAACTAATTCTTTAAAAATGATTAGCTTTGGTACACCAAAGCTATAAGGATTACTATTTTAGAGCAAATCTCCCAGACAGAAACAGCACCTGGTAGGTTTCCACCGGTCGACTCTCCATGTGCAGGTCCCAGATCTTGAGGGTCAGATAATCTCTGGTCATCATGTATCGGCCGCTGTGACTGAACTTGACGTCTGAGATGGATGAGATGATTTCCGAGAAGAAGGAGCGTGTGCTGGGGTCCTCGGGTTCCTCAAACACTACACAGACACACATGATAAAGGAGTTACATGACAACAAAAGCCCTCCTGAAAGGTTTTCAGCTTGATCAGCCAAAACCTGCATGATAATCCTACTCTAAAGAGCAGTGAAACATACATTTGGAGTGTTGGTCACACAGCGCAGACGCCCTCATGTCACACAGGCGCACGGAGCCCTTGCTGCTGCCGTACACAAACGTGTTGCACTGAAGCGGGTGAAACTCTGAAGCCGTGATCACCTCTGTCAGCTCCTCCATGTTGGCCGGCTTGATATCAACAATGTCTGAGTCAGCGGTTAAGGCCAAACTTCAGTTAGACTGAGGAATGTGAAAGTGTACATTATGAGGAAAAAACATGAAAAGCAATTAAGAGGAAGTTGAAATCACCCTTTTTTGGTTCAAAAACTGCCTTAACTATGAAACATGCAAGTGTTATAATATAATTACAAAAGCTTGGGGTAGGTAAGATTTTTGAAAGTAAAGTAATAGTTGCATGCATTAGACGGATCAAAAGTGGCAATAAAGGCATTTATAATGTTACAAAAGATTTATATTTCAAATAAAATGCTGTTCTTTTGAACTTTCCATTCATCAAAGAATCCTGAAAAATGCAGAAATCATGGTTTCCACAAATATATGGAGCAGCACAACTGTTTAATGCTATATATTTCCATAAGCTGCATTTTGTATCCTCTGAAACATTCCCCGTATGCCGATATTTTCGCTTTAAATAAATTGATTTAAGCTCGCTGTTTATAATAAATGTGGCTAGAATTTTAGTTTATACATCTATTTTCCATGCCTGTTCTGAATACCATTAAATTTAAATATTTGTTAAGTATTATTAATAATGTTACCACTAAAATTTAAATATTTGTTGAGTGAAGGGAACTAAAATACATGTATTTAGTATTTATAACATGTTATTTACTGGCATTTTACATCATTTCTGAATGTAATAATAAAGTGTGACCTACACACTGATGCAACTTAGCTTGGTTTGTTCTCTCAATGATGCAATTTCTAAGCAAGTGTGACTTATTTCACTGAAAATATGAATGATTTCTGAAGGATCATGTGACGTTGAAGACTGGCTAAAAAAATTCAGTTTTGCATCACAGGAATAAATAATAGGGATGCACGATACTGGATTTTGCCGATATTCTATATTTTTCAACTCATTTTGGCCGATACCGATATATATTTTCGATATTTCAAAGTCTCGAAGCTTTGAAAATAACTATAAACTATATATCAATCGCTGCATTTTTTCCCAGAAAGATGCAGTTAACCCTAACATTTTATTTTAAGATTTAACATTTGTAGATGTCTAAAGCAAAAGAGTTGTAAAAATTCTGAATATCTTTTAGAGCTTATGATTTGTTTAAAAAATAAAACATATTACACATTAATGAATAAATCAGTATATATAAAATTATTTAATTTACAAGTCATGTTTGTGATTTTTTTTCATGTAAGCTATAGCTTCTGACCTTTAAATCAAAACATACTCATTTTATGACATCAATTACTGCTTTATTTAATCAGAAACTATTTTAATTAGATTTAGGCTAATTTAATTAGAAGTAGGCCAACAGCACCCCCTACAGATTAAAACTCCTTACCGAACGGGCGTTAGGACCTGGGGGAGGCTGCCGCTGCACGTGCTATTACGGTTTACTCTATCACACACTGAACGTATCATTCTGTAAGTGCTTTTTCAGTTTAAATGCAGCGATCCAAAAGAGTGACTCTAATCATCATTCAGACAAAACTTTGCTTTAAGAATGAGCCACATTGTTGACGTGATCTAATCACTAGCACACCCTGGGCACATGTGAGTTAACCTATTCCTCTTATCGGCAAGATATATCGGCATAATTTTTCATATCGGGCCGATGCCGCTATTTACATTTAAAGCCATTATCGGCCGATTCCGATACCAGTCCGATAATATCGTGCATTCCTAATAAATTACATTTCAGAATATATTCAAATAGAAAACAATTATTTTAAAGGGGTCATATGATGCGATTTCAAGTTTTCCTTTCTCTTTGGAGTGTTACAAGCTGTTCGTGAATAGATAAGATCCCTGAAGTTGCAAAGACTAAAGTCTCAAAACCAAAGAGATATTCTTTATCAAAGATAAGACTCTGCCACGCGGCGCTTCTGAATAAGCGACTGTAAGTACGTTTTGTTACTAGTTTAAGCATTTGCTATTGACTGTTCAAATGCCGAGTTTTGCGCATCGCGCGCGCGTGCGTGTGTGTGTGTGTGTGTGTGTGTGTGTGTGCGCGTGCGTGTGAGTGTGTGTGTGTCTGTGTGTGTGTTAGAGTGGAATTTTCGATCAAATAAATGCAGCCTTGGTTAGCAAAACCTTCCCAATCTCTAACTTTTGAACAGTAGCATATGAATAAAGAAATAAATGGATAAACAGGATACTGAAGCTTCGGTCGGTGAAGTCCAGGTGCCACAGATTGATCCGGAGGTCATCGGCGGACAGATACGTCTCGTTGTCGCTGTTGACAGAGATGGAGTTGATGTGGTAGGTGTGAGCGTTGGAGTAAACCCGCCGCGGACTCGCCTCCACCATCAGGTCCATCGGCTGGAACACTGGAACCTGTGTGGAGCAAAGCCTGTTACTCCTATAGACTTATTAATGCATTAACAATCAATAATGTGTGTGTGAGTGTGTTCACACCCGTAGTGTTGTGAGGGATGACGGATGCCTGTAGCGGCCATCCTCTTCTTTGAGGTTATAACCCTCTGGTCGTTTGTCTCGTTCACTGATTTTCCAGAGCTTGATGGTTTTATCTGCAATGGAGCATTGAATAATCTACATATTTGATAACAGAGCAACCCACACATATAAATGTGTTAATGTGTCTGTATTTGCACCAGTGTTGTTATTATTAACTGAACTACTGAAAATCAATTTCGATAATATTGTATGGAAAAATGTAAAATTTGAAATGTTGCCTTGGGAATGAAACTTAAATGTGACCCTGGACCACAAAAGCAGTCTTAAGTCTCTGGGGTATATTTGTAGCAATAGTCAAAAAAAACATTGTATGGGTCAAAATTATCGATTTTTCTTTTATGCCAAAAATCATTAGGATATTAAGTAAAGATCGTGTTCCATGAAGATATTTTGTAAATTTACTACCGTAAATATATCAAAACTTAATTTTTGATTAGTAATATGCATGGATAAGAACTTCATTTGGACAACTTTAAAGGCGATTTTCTCAGTATTTTGATTTTTTTGCACCCTTAGATTCCAGATTTTAAAATAGTGTCCTATCCTAACAAACCATACATCAATGGACAGCTTATTTATTCAGCTTTCAGATGATGTATAAATCTCAATTTCAAAAAATTGACCCTTCAAATTGGTCCAGGGTCACAAATATGTTTAAGCTGAAGTATTAAAATTACATAAATAAATAAAAAAATAATTAAAAAAAAAATGAACACATAAAATGATTAAAATGTGAAAATTAGGGATGTAACGATTAACCGCGAGCCGGTTGAAAATCGATTCAAATATGTGACGATTCAAATCGGTTGAGATGCTAAACAAATCGCGATTCATTTAGGAGTAGGAGTTTATATGAATGTATGTCTGAGGGGAACTTACTGTCTTTAGAAAAGTTTAGATGGTATTTTTTCTTTTCATCTTGCCTCTGTATAATGCACTGCTTTGTTTACAGCGGAAACCAAGGAAAGCTTGAAGCGCCACCTGCTGGCAGAGAGTGAATCTGCATCTCATTTAGCTTTGCTGTTTCATGCAGATATTTTTATTTATAGTTTCACAAAACTGAAGTCAAACCATAATTTTTTATAATAATCGTGAATCGAATCGAGAAATCAAAATCGTGAATCGAATCAAATCTTGAGTTGAGTGAATCGTTACATCCCTAGTGAAAATTCAAATGAAAGCCAATTCAAATAATGTATAATAGAAGTAATATTAAAATAACAGATCTGCGCATTTCATCTGTTAGCTCACCGTTTGTGGACAACAGGAAGTGTGCAGCATTTTTCTGAGGAAGCCAGCGGATCTTGTTGATCTTTTCCTCGATTTCCAGACTCTTCAGATAGTCGAACTCCGGCTCGTGACTCTGGAACGTGCTGTAGACGTTATATTCAGTGCGGCACTGCGGCAAGTTCTTACTCTGATAGGACAGAGAGATGTCGCATGACCTTTTAAACATCCTACATGACATTAATGACGAAGAAACAAAACAACTAAAAAAAAAAAAACTTTAAAAACTGTTTACATTAACTGAAACAAAGCTGAAATTAAATATAAATGTTAGATGACAAACGTAAATGAAAATTAGAAATGTAGCCCTGGCAGTTAAACAAGTTAGAAATAAGTTGAAACTTTAAGTACTAAAATAACTAAAACTGAAATAAAAATAAATTATTAAAATTGCAAAAACTGATAAAATGACAAAAGCACATAATAAAATGACTAAAGCTTAAAATGAACATGAACATAAAATAAAACTATTTATAAAAATTTTAAATGAGCTTTTATTATATAATAGTATATAAATAATTCTAAAACCGCATTGCAATGCGTATTATTAAAGGAATAGTCTAACTAAAATGCTCTCAAATTTGCATATTTAAATCCAACGTGTCGTAATCAATCACAAGACACATGAGAACTAATAATGGTGTGTCTTGAGGTGCCAATAATAATAATTATTTTTATTAAATTTATTATTTTTTTCACTATATAAAATTACACTATATTTGTTTGTTTTTACTGATTTCCACAAGTATCACAAATATTTCAGGGCTATAAATCACAATTTTACAATTCCCTGAAATGTCTTCATAACCATAAGAACCTTAATGGAAGCATGTCTGTTTGCATACCCATGCATAATATCATAAACTTCAGGAGCAAAGATTTAGGAACAGCCCACTCAAAAATGCTCTCAAATTTGTATGTTCAAACCCGGCATGTTGTAAATGATCACAAGACACGTGAGAACCAAGGTTATTATAGTTTTGAATTTTTGAATTTGTTTTATTTTAATATCGTTTTCAAATTTGCTATAAAATTCAGTTTAGTTTTGATTAGTTTCATTAATATTTTTGTTAGTTTTAGTGTAGTTCTCATTTTGTGAACACATTTTTATTTAGTTTTTATATAGTTTAGTTTCAGTTTTAATTAAAGTTTAGCAGAATCAACAGATCACTTCCAGAGCGAAGGCCAAAGAAAGACGTAGGCATAATTTAACCTTAGTGAGGCAAACGTTTAGACACACAAAATTAACGCATGCTGAGATTGATTAGATGGTAAAAGTATACAAATATACACCAAAGGAAGCAGTCAAGCCTTTTTACTATATAAATCTACGCAAGTTGCGCTTAATGTCATATCTAATGGTGTGCTGAGATATTTAATATGAAAATAATTGTAGCCTAATTTGGTTAAGTCTTTTATCTTATTTAACCATAATCATGATATTGTAACGGTCGTGTCTTGCTCACATTTCCGTGAACAGCCGCGCGCATAAATCATAACTGGAACTAATGAAATTCAATAATAACGGCAATCGTATTTAACAATAAAGGCTCATATTTGAATATGTTCTTTTCTTTATTTATGAAGAATTATAAGCATGTGTATGATGTGATTTAGCCTATGCACATTTGTCCAAAAGCCTGGCAGATTGATCACAAGATGCTAGGCCAAGTTTTGTATTGTTTACAGAAAGGCACGTTCTCATCTTTTTTTCTGTTAATTATGTTGCTCTGCGTGTCTGTTTCCCTTCAAAGCACCAACTTGCCTAATGTTGGTTTGATTGCTTGCGTTACATGAGAAAATAAATAATTTTGCCTACCTGATGTTGTAGATTAATGCGGGTTCGGGTCGCGACTCGCGGTTTTTATGTCAAACGGTTCTGGTCTGGTACAGAAATAAATTAGTGCTGTTGTCGGATAACGGGTCGGGTGTTCTGTAGGGCTGGGCGACATGACGATATTATCGTATATCGACGATGTTTCATAAGTATCGCGATGTCGATGTCAACAGTCAGGTAACAGACGATTATCGACATTATCGGGAAAAAAAATTACAAACGATAAACCTAGTAAGTTGCAAAAATATTTTACATAGCCATAGTCACCATACGGGTTTTTTTGCATGCAAGAATTAAATAATTTAGTAGGTGGGTCAGGAATCGGAAAGCTATTCCAATTTCGGAAATCAGATCAGATGCGTAAGGTCAGGAATCAAATTACTTGTTATAAAATTAAATTCGATTCTGCTTCTGCACTCGCGCGCTGTTTTCTGCACACGCACACAAAGCGCACTTATATACGCGAACACTGGACTGAGCTCTCTTTCTTGCGTTCTTACACATTCGAATGAACAAATACACACAGAATTATATCAAAATATCCCATAAATACAATCGGTTATGTCTTAAGTGAACGTAAAGGGTTGGGAAAGAAAACAAGGGTGTATTGGATCCGTGCATTGACAGCAGCTGCTGCCGCCAGTCATTATAATGTTAATCAAAGAACAAAAGAAAATCCCTCATTGATCTTGACTGAATCACTTTTGTAACCTGTTTATATTTTATTTGCCTGTCGTTCGGCGCTGACTACTGTAATGGCAACGTGCATCTGTGTATGCGATCGCAAATTCCTTCAGCGCACATTTTAGTGCAATATTTTTACAGATTTTGTAAACCGTGTATACAATATTATTATGTTTAATTAAGCTGAGATATAGCACTATACATTCTTAATTCATTTGCAACAAAACTATAAAGTTTTGTTGCAAACAGATGAAGACATTAGTAGGCTTCTCAGCTCGCCCCTCAACATGCATGCACTTGAAGTTTCGGCAGCCCAACACTGAATATTATATTGTGGGCATTGTATTTTGATTAATAAAATAAAAATTATAAAAATTATAATATAAAAATGAAATTTAAATTACCCTGGTTCTAATTAAATAAAGCAGTTACTTTTATTTAGTTAAAAACGGCCGAAAGAGACCTCCTAACTAGTAGGCTACCAGAAAGGGAAAAAAAAAAAAAACGTAATGTTTTTGCTCATAATTCATTTTTAATCCCTGCATGATTTTAGTTATACATGATAAATAGCAAATACATTATAGCTTGACTACAAGTTTAAAAACAACGCTGCAATTGTTATAATTAAGGAAATTAAACGTACCATCATGAAATGTGTCTACATAGACGATAATGCCAAAAAGAAAGAGAAACATCAGAAAATAGGCATATTTAGTGTTCTGTTAAGTACTGCTGGTTAGAGGTCTTCACAGGTCCACTTGGATCCGAAAACCCGAGTTCCGACCCGCGAGAGGGTTCGGGTCCAAAACTTCGACGAGTACCTCGGACACGGGTCGGGTTCGGTATTAGCGGCCTCGGGTCTCGGGTAATTTCAAATAAACATGCTTTTCCCAAATGGACCCGATTAGATCCGAATTCTTTTAAACTATCCCGAATGCGTAGGTTACTTTCACTTTCGTGTTAAGAGAGGAACGCACATAGAAAAGGAGCATACGTTCGTAATCCTCGCACACAGACAACATCTTATAGATATGAGCTCCATCAGGAAAATCCACTCGCTTCATTATGCTGCGTGTTCATGCAGGGCTTTTCTTTTTTGTGTGCAGAAGCTTTCCGCCGGAGATCAGGCTGCAGACAACACTAGCGAATCCATGTTATGACTATTATTAGGCTATCGATTTATTTTTTATCAAACTATCACGTTTATTTTTCAAATCCACTGGTCACAATTGAAAGCGGAGCTCAGAAATACCTTGTATCCATCAGGCAGGCACTAATATAAAGTAACCTAATAATAAATTTAATAAATGTTAAATAAATCAAAGTAATGGAGAAGTGGCCAAATCAGTCAATAGGACACCGGGATTTTTCCTGACTGACTGCGGGGCTGCAGGCTGTACACACGTCAATGCCGTTTACGTTCGGGTCCAGTCGGGTTCTAAAATAAATGCTGTCGGCTCGTGTCGGACTCGGGTCTAATTTCATCGGGTCTGTCTCGGGTCGAGTTTTTCTTTTTAAAAAATTAATTTATGCACGTCGGGTTCGGGTAAGAAGTGATTCGGGTCGGGTAGATTTTAGGACCCGAGAAGACCTCTACTGCTGGTGCACGTTTACCAAATAGGACCCGTGCAGGACTCTGCTTTAAACTGCTTTGCGTCTCTTTGAGGGATAACCCCATGTGCGTGATGCGCCATTTACAGGTATTTCCCTAAACTGTCACACAGCTCATATATTTTTCGGCCAAAGAGTGAGAACATAATGATTACGAAAACTATTATTTATTTTTGTTAATTATTATTTTATTTCAGTTAGTTTTTCCAATAACTGTTGTTAGTTTTAATTTCGTTTTAGTTTTTCAAATATTTTGACTTTTTATTTTATTTCAGTTTACGAAATTGTTTTTTCATCAATCGTTTTCGTCTTAGTTTTCGTTTACGAAATTAACCTTGGTGAGAACCAATAACGTTTTGCGTGGCATGTCTTGAATATGTGGACTATGTATTTACAGTCTCCGTTTGCATTTCGAATAACAGTTTTAAGCCTGAAAAGCTCATTGACACTCCTCTTTTTAACTGTTGTGTGTAATGGACTGTAATCCATCTCACCTCTTGCTCTTGCTGGAAGATCACTATTCTTCCACCTCGATCTCCTGTGGCCAAAAGCTCCCCGGAATGACTGAACTCCACCGCAGAGATGATGTCAGCTGCAACACACACAATGATGAATTATTGAAAAGAGCAACTATGAGAGCATATTGTTTCTCTGAATGTTTCTAAGAAGATAAGTGACTGCTTGTGTTTGAGGGCGTGTGGGCGGGAACATGTGGAGCCTGGCATTAAAAGCATCTCAGGCATCTGCACACACAGTACCGTCCAACAACCCCCCATCCCTGCCTTCCCTAACAATAACAACCTCTCTCTCTTTCTGTCTGGCGTATTATTGTGACGGGCGGCAGCGTGGTGCTGGGCTGTGCCATGTTCAGACTCAAGCCAGAGAACAAATCCTTTATGCTAAAAACACATGCACAATTTAACCTCATATAAATATAAAGAAACCTATTTTGACAAGTGAGAGCCAAAGTACAACTGAAACCCCACTTATCATTTCTAAGTATTATAAATATCATTCTCAGACCTTTTGAACTTTTACATGACCCATCAGAATTACATTCTAAATTATTTTATGAATAGACCTCTCAGACAGGCACTTTTCATAGCTGTACATTTTATAGAAAATGATAAATTATCTTCGCTGATGTGTTTCCATGACCATAATATCCCTGATGGAAGCATGTTTGCATACTCATAAATTCATAAACGATCATGAACAAATTAATTAAAACAAAAGGGTAAAACATGGCAACCAATAAATCAATCAATCAATCAATAAACGACTTTAGTAACTTGAATAATATCCAGCACAGTTCTCAAAAATCATGCTAAAATGACAAAAAGAAAGACTGTACAAGCTTTGAAGAGATCATATTAATTTATCATGGGTTTAAACTTTACAGTGGTAACTATTGCATTTTGTAAATAAATAACTATAAACAAAACAAAAACTTCGCAAACTTGGATAATATCCAGCATGGTTATCAAAAATTATACTAAAATGGCAAAAATAAGGATTTTAAAAGCTTTGAAGATCCTATAGCAATTTATTATGGTCTTACGGTAGTCATTTTTTTTTTAGAAATAAATAATAACAACTTCATTATTACATGTATAAATATATGTATTCATTTACATATATACATATTTATGAATTGCATAAATATAATTATTACATAACTAGAGATGTAACGATTAACCGCGAGCCGGTCGAAAATCGATTCAAATATGTGACGATTCAAATCGGTTGAGATGCTAAACAAATCGCGATTCAACTAGGGGTAGGAGTTTATATGAATGTATCTCTGAGGGGAACTGACTATCTTTAGAAAAGTTTACGTGGCATTTTCTTTTCATCTTGCCTCTGAACAATGCATATTAAAGTAGTGTTCATAAGCGCAGCGCTGCTTTGTTTACAGCAGTAACCCAGGAAACACTGTCTCATTGCTGTTCATGAGCGCCACCTGCTGTCAGAGCGTGAATCTGCGTCTCATTCAGCTCGTCTGCGGTTTCGTTCAGATATGTTTTATGTAGTATAGTTTCACAAAACTAAAGTCAGACCATTCTGTTTCGCTTCAAATTTCGAAATTATACAGTCTAATTTAGATTAAAAACTACTCATGCTGCATGTACGCTGCATCTTTGTTTGGATTAGAGGTCGACCGACGTATCAGTTTTGCCGATTAATCGGCACCGATAGTTGATTGCTGGAACTATCGGTTATCGACAAATCGGTATCAGCCAGTGTGGTCCAACCTAGCTTTCGGTATCGGCAAAATCCACTATCGGTCAACCTCTAGTTTGGATCATGATTAAAATCCAGTGGTTGCCTCTAATTTCTAAATGGAAAGAGCACAGACAAAGCCTTAGTTTGTTCATAATAAGAGATTTATTTTATTTGTGTAACTTGTTTGTTTTAAAATTTCAATTGAGTTTTGTTATATTTCAATTTCACAAAGAAACGTGCAGCAATAGCCTAATAAAACGACACCTTTTAATTTACTGTATGTCTTCAATCTCATTTTGTTAAAAAAAAACAAATCGCGAGAAAATCGAATCGTGAAATCAAAATCGTGAATCGAATCGTGAGTTGAGTGAATAGTTACATCTATAGTTTACAGTAGTAAAACTTAACAAAACAACAAGTCAAAATGACTAAAAGAAAGATTTGACAAGCTCTGAAGATCTGTTTATAATGGAACTTATTACGGTGTTACAGTAGTAACTCTGGTGTCTGTATTTATTGTGGTACTGAGGTTACCGTGGTAAAGCAGGGATGTGTCTTACCTTCGGCTACATCATCATCTACGGCTCCTTTGACCTGGGACAGACACCAGCGGCTCTGGCCGTCTCCATCTCCTGGAACCGAAGACAAATTCAGACTGTATGTCCAACACAAAGAGCACATTAAAAAAACACTATCTGTGTCCACCACCACAAATGTGCCCTAAACTACCACACTTGTGAAGGACTGGAGACCTATACAGTTTAGATCTATAGAAAAATAAAAGAATCTTCATGGAAAAACAAACATTTCCAGGAAGTTTGCATGGATTTGAGGGAGAGCTGTTGACCAGGACTGTGTCCAGCAGCCTGTGCCACACATCTGACCACAGCAGCATCAAACATCTGATGATCTACACATGCATCATAACACAGAGGTGGGACCGCATTTCTGATTCAATATCATGTGCAATTCAGGCCAAATTCAAATCAAATTCAACACACACAAATGAAATGATCTGCAAACGACGCAGAACACTAAATGCTGTCCAAATAACAGCTTTACTTTAAAGCAACGCAACGCACAGCAAAACATTACATGACTGCATGAATGATATTAAACGATATTAACGAAATTAAAGTTGCATATACCGTCCATGCTGGGCTGGATCTGATTCAGTCCTGGGCCTTATTTTTCTATGTTGATTTCAAGCGTCTTTTCCTCTGACTCGGTTATTTCATAAAGATATTCTAATAAGAGAAGGTTGGTTTTCTTAACAAAGTGCTAGAATACGGTTTGATTTCATAATTCCCTCCGTACAGAAGCGTGTTTAGCTTTTCTATCATTCTATCACCACACGCGCTGAACGACGTTCAGTGAACGTGCGTGGTCCGCTGGCACTTATATATTGTTGCTCTTTTGTTAGATTTGACTGCTTTTATTTTCCTCATTTGTAAGTCGTCTGCTAAATGACTAAATAAATATTATAAATCATATTTTTATGTATAGCTATAAATAATCTATTTTTTTGGTTTCAGAGTAACAGAACTGAACTTTTTGCTGTTAGAATGAGCAAGTGATGGATTGCAACGAGGGTTAATTAATTAATTAATTTATTTGACAAAATCTGAAATGAACTGCCCCATGAATGTTGTTTCTTTTCATATCTGTTTATTTATTTGTTGTGAATTCAGAAGATGAACCTGTGCTAGAAGCTCTATTTTCTTTTCTATTTAACAGTTTATGTTCACTTAAGACGTTGCTGACTGTGTTTACATGGATACTCATCGACACATCGACACATGTGCTCTAAAGCTTCATCTATGTCCAGTGTCTGCTCTATTTTTCTCCAGAAGTTTATGAGCTACCTCATACCCTCTCACAAGCGCTTGCCGATGTGAGCATCTGTTGATGTTTTTGAGTATTATTTCAGAAAAGCAACAGTATTTGTTGTACTTGAGTACAAATTTTCAGTACTTTCCACCTCTGACTCAAGAGCCATAATGGAGTGCTGTGTGCAGACTGCATTTTATCAGGAGTGGAGCGGTTGTAGCTTTGAAAGGATAAGTCTATATTTAATTTATACAGTGAAGCCTATGCAATGCTATTTTTGTTCATTCAATTTCTGTACCTGAACACTTACAAACCTGAAAAAATTAAAGCATTGTATAATTTACCTTTGTTCTATTTATTTATTTGTGCTAAATTTCAAATAGGCCTACAAAAAAATACTGTCTCTAAATCTTTATTTTCTTTTTAAAGCTGATCTAGACAAGTATTTGGAAACTATCTAATGCTCTGTTAATCCTAAAGCAGTCAAAACTGTATCTCTATTCATCCTATGTGTTCTCTTTAAGGTCTATCTCTAAACTGTGTCTCTAATGTAGGCTATTACTTTTTTTGTTAACCTGGCAACACATTTGTAAATTGTATCTGTGTATACTTTGTTTATTTTGTATGTTTTGCCTTAATAGTTTGATGCTTAGCCTACTTTAAAAAAAAAATAAAAATCAGAAAAAAAAAGATTTGAGATACGCGTTCTGAAGTTCCAATCTGATTTAAATGATTCGATACGCGTTCCGAAGCCCCGATCTGAATCAAAAGATTCACGAACCCGCTTAGTCCCGATCTGAATCAAATGATTCACGATACGCGCTTTTGAATTCTCGATCTGAATAAAATGATTCATGATTCGCGATCCGACTGAAGCGATTCGAAACAGTGAATCATTTTGCGACGCATTAGTTTAACTGATTCGGAGTTTCGAAAAGCTCGATCCGCTTTACCTTTACCCATCACTGCTTTTCAAAATCATTACAGGTGATGTCGAAATTCAAAAATGAATGGCTCTTTTGAACCGGTTTTTATTAGTGAATACCTTGGCTTGAACTAAATGATCTAAGTCACGAGTTTGAGTTTGAATCAATTGGAGCGGTTCCAGCGTAAATGACTCAATTGAATCAGTTTGTTTGTTCCTCCGCTTTTCGGTTTACACGACAGTGTCAGTTCTGCTACTTGCTTAGCTTGCTAGTTTTATGAGATTGACTTAAATAAATAATAGAAAAAAGTATGATGTTTACAAATAAAATATTCGTATTTCCATTCCGAAGATTGCTTTCCACGCTAAGACATCCAACACAAATCTATATTCAGGTGAGGTAACCGGGTTTACTGATAACTAGTGAAAACATTGTGCATTATAATCGAGTTGGTAGCTTAATTAACTATTTTTTAAGTAGTTTGACCACAGCATTTAGTGTCAGTTCATACTGTAGGAAATCAGTTGAAACTGAAGTGAAAATTACATTTACCAGTATATATTGTTTAAATATTGTTATATATTGTTGTATCTGATTGTATTAGACTAGTCAATATAAAAAAGAGCAAATTGTGGAAGCAGATTAATACAAAATGGGTGAAATGTGTTGAAAAGATTAATTGATAATAATTCCTTGACCCATGATTCAGTTCTGTAGTGTGTTTTGTTCCAGTAGGCTACTCATGAATCAGTGATCTTGTGTTTGTCAGATGTACAGTGTTGTCTGTTCATTCTCGTTTATGAGTGTCTCTACTCTTCTGATCTGCAGTATCTGCTCATGGATTACTATGTCGCTGGAGATCTGAGTAAGTTTGGTGATCGTATCCTGGAGGATGTGGCTCAGTTCTTCTACCTGGCTGAGATGGTGATGGCCATCCATTCAGTCCACAGACTCGGTTATGAGCACAGGTATCTGTACTAACACTGGTCAGTTCACCTAAACATGGAAATCATGACAGAATGTTCATCTTTGGGTGAATGATTCCTTCAGTGTCATCAGAGAATGGTTTTATTCAGAAAGTTCTCTAAGGACATGTTTAGTAACGTATCAGTGGGAAAACTTATAGAATTTTTGTAGAAGTGCAACTTAAAAAAATCTTTTGCTATGAAAAATATTTCATTTACCTGTCTTTTATTTTTTAAAGTCTTTTTTTTAATCTAATTATTTTATTTTTTGATATGTAAATTAATGATTCTATTTGAATCCTATAACCTAGTCCTATTTGGATCATAATGTTTTTTTTTTTAGTTTGTTTATATGTACACACACACACACACACACACACACACACACACACACACACATATAAATCAGTAATTCAATAATAAAGTTCAATATACAACTGTATGTGCCAGAGCTGTATTAAGGCCCGTTCACACCAAGAACGATAACTATAATGATAACTATATTAGCATTCTAACCAGCAGACGATAATGTTCTGTTTATTATTAGCGCGCTGCAGTTTTGACGTCTGCTGCGAGCTCTTTAAATCAGGATGGATTCTGATTGGCTGCCAATGTGTTTATTGTAATGCAGTCTCAGTTGAATAGCCGCTTCTGAAACCTGACTGGTTAATATCCAGTTAGTTATTCTGTGAAAGAAATAATGGTACCTGGTTGTTTTCGCTATGAATGGAAGGAGAGAGACAGGTCTGTAGCTATCTACAAGTGAAGTGTTTAATGTAGGTTTTTTTAAGCAGTGGGGTTCTATGACAATTGTGATGATAATGATCATTTTGGAATTATCGATATTTTTTTTCCAACTGATGAACATTAATATTGCCACGTTTTCACACAATTATGTTTACATTTCCCTCTTTCGACTGCTTTTTGTCCGCTTTATATCTGCGAGTAATGACACTGATGCTTGTTTTATAGCCAACCTACTTCTGTATTAAAAAAATATATAATTAAAATACTGGGCTGGGTTACTCTTCCTCACTTTCTCTGTTTTTCCCCAATGCTTTTTGGGAAGTTATATATACATTTCAGATATTTGATCTACATGCTCGGCTTCAAGAACCTGCGGAAGCCTCATCCATCCGATGATGCAGCCCCTATGGGAGGTAGCTATACTGTGTTACATTGTTGCGCAAATATCCTTACAGTGTTACTTAAAACTGCAACAAAATATTAAATATTTTATCTAGAAAGTTGTGAACATAAAAGTTGTGATTTTACAGTGCTTTTACAGTAGGTTAATAGTGATATTCCAATTACAGTTTCAATGACAAATTATTAGTGCTGTCAAATTATTAATCGTGATTAATCGCATCCATAATAAAAGTTGTTGTTTACATAATATATGTGTGTATACTGTGTATATTTATTAAGTATATATATAAATACAAACACATGCATGTATATATTTAAGAAAAATATGTTATGTTTATATATTAAATATATTTATATATAATATAAAATATAAGAATATGAATATATAAATGTATAAACGTAAATATTTTCAAAATATATACTGTATGTGTGTGTATTTATATACATAATAAATATACACAGTACACACACATATATAATGTAAACAAAAGCTTTTATTTTGGATGCGATTAATCACGATTAATCGCTTGACAGCACTACAAATTATTGATTTAATTTTTATTAACTAAACATTTTTAAACCAGACACTATGGATTCATATGCAAGGGAAACGGTTAAGAAGTGGAACCTGGAAACATTAGGCTAATTGACACATTTGCAGGTGAGAGATAATGTAGGAAGTTATTTAAAAAATGCTAATTTATGTGACATTATTGCAAAAACAGACACTTCAAATCTCCATTTTTTGACAAAAATACAGATTTGAATGTATTTTATAATATTTAAATATTTATATTCACAATATTGAAAATTGTGGTTGGAGTTGCTGGCCACATCCAGAAAAATGAATTGATCTCTATGTCCCTCTGCTGGATGTATATAGTCACAACACTTTTTTTCTCTGTATTTCCTACAGGTTTTATTTTTCTCTAAGCAGCAGATTGATTGATTGATTGATACTTTATTGATCCTTTACAGGAAATTACATTTTCACGGCAGCTTCAACACACAAAACACAGCACCACACATAACAAAGAAGTAATTTCCACAATATAAAAGTGAGAGCATAAAGTGCAAATAATAATATAAGTACAAAACTAGACTGTACTAGATCTTTACTATATGTACCAGATTAAACAATCTGATAGCCACTGATAGAAAGGACTTTCTGCTGTGCTCAGACTTGCATTTTGGTGCAATCAGTCTGTGACTGAAGGTGCTGCTATTGATCACCCCCAGAGCGTGGAGTGGATGTGAGGGATTGTTCATTATCGATCTCAGCTTAGAGAGTATTCTCCGCTCTGCCACCTGCTGGACCGTGTCAAACTCTATACTGACAACAAAGCCAGCCTTCTTGATAAGTTTGTTGGCTCTGCTTCTATCTCCCATGCGGGCACCCTCTCCCTAGCACACCACAGCAAAGAACAGAGCACTAGCCACCTCTGTCTGATAGACGCTGCACAATAGGGGACGGCTGATGTTAAATGACCTCAGCCTCCTTAAAAAATAAAGTCGCCT